CCTTATCATTATTTTTCCGCTAAAATAAATCTTTGATCCAAATTTCTCCAGAAATTTGGGGTGTGCAGGATCGGGTACCGCCGGGCGGAGCCGTTCCCCAACCTCCGAACGCTATCCCATCACTGTGACACGCGAGGACCTGCTCTCTTTTGGGTCTTTCGGCTCTCTTCTAGAATTTCTAGAATTCCCTCCTAGTTTCGGGTCTGAGACTGCTCCCCTTTCGGGGAACCAGACGTACCGCTTGGTGTGGACGTTCGGGCGTCGGCTATAGCCTATAGCTTACTTCCCTTCGGGCTGACCATACCATAGTCCTTGACCGCCCAAGACTGCTCCCGTTGAGGCGCACCCTCTGACGAGGTGCCGCTTGGTGCGCACGTTCGGTCGTCGGCCAGGAGCCCGCCCGATCCCGTGTTTCCCTTTACCCTTTCCTCCACACCTGGCGGCCAAGAAGCTGGCTCACAAGTGCCCGCCACGACGCCCCACGTCTAAGCCCCCCAAAAATAGTGTCTTTTTTTCGCAGTTTCCTTTAGAGAGCCTAGGGGACTTTCAATCGTCAATTTCTCAGCTCTCCTTGAACCGATTAAGCTGGAAATTTTTCTGTAGATAGAATCGAGGTAGGAGATTCCGAATTTGGTAACGATTTTCGGAAAATGATAAAGTGTGGAAGCGTTTTAGTTTCAGATCAGAAAAGTTATCAGTTATCAGTTATCTTTTTTGAGATCAATGAAGCGTCCCGCTTTCCTCATCGATGCCTTCACCAACACGAAATTTGCCGGAAATCAGGCAGCTGTTTGTCTTTTGAAAAGGTAAAAGGAATATTTTGAAAGATAATCATTATTTATTTAATCACTGTTAACTTTCCATTCAATTACCAAAAGAGTACAATTTCTAGAAACTAGCCGATCAGGAATATCAAAGAATCGCCGCCGAGTTCAATCTCTCCGAAACAACCTATCCGGTTTCTTTAGAAGAAGGGAAAGACTTCAAGACTGGTAACTTTAAACCCAATGTTTTTTTGGATGAATGCAAATCTTTTCTGGCACACTTAATTTCTTCTTTTTAGGCTCCCTATTCTCCCTTCGTTGGTTCACTCCAACGGATGAAGTACCTCTCTGCGGTCATGCCACTCTTGCCACATCTCACGTTTTGTTTTATGAAATTGGTATTATAGAAAATTTTATATTCTAGATTCATTAAAGAAAGCTAAAGAAGTCAATTGGATTATCTCATATTATCTTTTCAAAAAGAAGGTACTGAAAAAACACTGAGCACTGAAAAGTTTCACTCAAGTCCGGGCTCGAACCAGGGCTAGCAGGTTGAGAACCTAGTGCACTTACCACTCGGCTGTTTCCGAGGAGCATAAGCTCGCTAGATACTGTCTGATCGCTAGATACTGTCTGATCGCTCGATACTGTCTGATCGCTCGATACTGTCTGATCGCTTGATACTGTCTGATCGCTAGATACTGTCTGATCGCTAGATACTGTCTGATCGCTAGATACTGTCTGATCGCTTGATACTGTCTGATCGCTCGATACTGTCTGATCGCTTGATACGCAGACAAACAGCACAAAATCTGGCTTTTTTACATACAAATTTCAAACGGATTTAAATCGGAAATTTGAATCCATTAAACAAAAACGATTTAGATATTGAAAATCAATGAAAAATGTGTTATAAAAAGGAAAGAAGATCAAGAAAATAGACAGTAAACAAACATCGATCGCTAGTAAAGTGAAAACATTCAGGCAACGCCAACGCGTCACTCACTTTCCGTACCCTTTCCGGGGATCTTATCGTTAAAAAAGCCGATCCCCAGCGAGTTGTCATGGATTTCCCACAATATAGTGCAAGTTTTAAATAAAAATTAAATAAAGATTAAATAAAGATTAAAATTTTATTGCTAAAAACTTATCTATAAAGAAAAAGAATTATTAAAATGTCGGGAAAAGAAGCGCAAATACTTGCTAGAACTATTAGAACTATTAACGTTTAAATATAAAAGACCATAAGTTTCGTTAAAATAATTTTTATTCAACGAAGTAATCACCATTCGAAAGAAGAACCTTTTGCCAACGTTCTACAAGTAAAAACATTCCACGATAATAAAAAGTCTTGATCCGTAGAGGCGAAGAAAAGATCAACCTCGGTTTTGACATCTTCTTCGGAATTGAACCGTTTATTGACCAAAAAGTTAGACAGAGACAAAAATAAATAATAATCAGATGGAGAAAGGTCTGGACTATAAGGTGGATGTGGTAAAACCTTCCATCCAACACTCTGGATTTTTTTGTCGAGTCTGTAAAGAGACATGTGGTCGTTCATGCGGTATCCATTTGTCCAACTTTTTGATAAAATTCATGGCATTCAAGCGTTTCCTTGCGGTTGACCCATCACAATTTAATGTAAAGCCTATTTCTGAAGAGGTTGAACGAGGGTTTTCGAGAAGACAGCGTCTTATTTGGTCATCAGATCAAAATAAAAAACGTGGATTACTTTTTCACACACCTAATACTTTCGACTCTTTTCCCATTCATTTTATTAGATTAACAGAATTTGTATTAATGTTAATTTCAGTTTTAAATGGAAACCAAGTATATTTTCTGTAAAATAATAGATAAAATAATAAAAATTCTCATAAATTTGGTCATTTTTTAGATCGCCTACATTCCCCTCTCAAATCTCGACTCTCCATTTAAACAACTTTTTCCCGAGTTTACTGAGGCAAATTTAGCTATGTTTCAAGCAATAGTTAAGGTAATCTATCTAACAATTTAATATTTATATTCATAACCATTTAGGAGTTAATCCCTGAAAATTTGAAAGTGATCGGAGTGACTATTGGCATAAAAGCAAAGAAATTATTGATCGTGCTCGACTCGGAGACAACAAGGTAAAGAAAGTTTGTTTATTTTAATGATTGAGTTTATTTTTTAGTCTCTAGAATCGATTAAATAGATTAGGGTTTCAATTTTAGTGCCGAATTTGCAACAATTCACAAAAATCACCCATTAATCGAGATTCATCCCGAGGGATGCACTGTGCGAGGAGTCATTGTCACAATGGCGCCGAAAAATCCAGAGAAACAGGTGCTCAAATATGCTAGGATTAGATTGTTAAATCAAGAATAGGTACTGTATTGTTAGTAAACGATTGCTAGTACTTTACCCAGCAATGAACTGATTTAAAAGACCTCAATGATGGAGGTTTTACTTCAAGGTTTTACTACGAGGTTAAAGGTTAAAGCTCTAAGTTAAAGCCAAGTTTTCCTTCAAATGCCCGAAGGGGAATTTGAAAAAAGGATCCAAAATCTATTTACTAAAAAGATTGAGAGATTTATCCAGGGTTTCGTTGATGTGAATGGTCGACCGTTCGACTACGTTTGTCGATATTTCGCACCTTGGGTCGGCATTGCTGAAGATCCAGCCACTGGTAAGTATCAGGATAATTAATGAGGATTTGAACTCAAGAGGAAACAATTGTCTTTCCCTCTTTCTCTTTCCAAGTTTCTGGATAGCTCAGTGGTTAGGGAAATTACCGGGAAAGCAAAAGCAAAAGCAATCCCCTCTCCGGAAATCTACTTTTTACCAATTCCTTCACTTCTTTGATGTGATTCTGAATCTTTATTAATGTTTCTATCATTATTATCAAAGTCGCTGTAATCAAGAGCCCAATTTCAGGCTCGGCTCAATGCGCGCTCGGACCGTTTTGGGCTCGGGTTTTCGAGAGGAAACAATTGTATGGTGAGTGAATGAGAGGAAAGGATTTAAGCTTTTCTTAAGCTTTCTTAAGCTCTTTTAAGCTTAAGCTTTAAGCTTTCTTTCTTGATTCTATTATAGTAATCAATTTCAAGCTACAGTAAAGAAAAATTTGAGCAAGAAGAGTTGAAGAAGGAGTGTAGCAAGGCCAGTTCAGAGCCAAGTCAGAGCCAGGTCAGAACCAGGTCAGGACCAGGTCAGAGCCAGGTCGGAGCCAGGTCAGAGCCAGTTCAGAGCCAGATCCAGGCTTTGCTTCTGGTTGATCCAGGCTAAAGTTGTCTCTCGAAGTGCTAGTCTTTTTATTTCAGCAATACATATTTCCTGCTGATTTCAGGCCTCCAAGCCTACCCAGGTCGGGGCGCTCAATTCGATGTGACTCTGGAAGAAAATGATCGAATCTCCATCACTGGCAAAGCTGTTACAGTGCTCCGGGGTGAAATTGACACCGAATAACTTGAAAACTCTGTGTACTTTGTGCTCAACTCTGTAAACGCACATCTTCTGGCGCACTGAATCTTCTAGAGGCTAAATTCAGTGAGCCAGAAAGGGTGTGTTTACATTTTTTGAGAACAAAGTACATAAAAATTAGATTTTTTTTAAAGCAATTTGTTTCATATTATTTTATTTATTGAGCCAAGCAAAATAGAATAAAAAATGAATTTGAAATCCAAAAAAAAACCCTGTCAATGTGATGAGCAAAAAAATGTGCACAGAAATAGAAATCTTCGAAATTTTTCATAGGAAAAGTTTCAGTTTAAAAGTTTGCCGAAAGAAAATTTGAAACTGAAAACTGAAAACTTTTTTTTTTTTGAACACCTAGGCATTTATTGATGCAAAAATAATCGGGGACTCGTATCGGGAAATCAAAAAAATTCAAATCAAAAATCAAAATGAAGAGATTTTCATTTTTTTTTTTTTGTATATATGTTACGTCCGAATCTGAGGAGACGTCCATCTCCGATCCGGACGTCCGACTCAGAGATAGACGTCCGACTCTGAGTCGGACGTCCGTTTCGGAGGAGAATGATCATTCTTCTCGGAATCGGACGTCCGATCTTGAGAACAAATAGTTTGGCAATTCTCCTCCGAAACGGACGTCCGACTCAGAGTCGGACGTTCATCTCTGAGTCGGACGTCTGTTTCAGAGAAGAATGAATCTCCTCAGATTCGGACGTAACATATATAAACGTAAATTTTAATATATCAGAATTGACTTTGAATTTGTTTTTTAAAAAAATTTCAAAGCTGATTGTCGTCGGATGGCCGAAAAGTGTACTCGCTTTTTAGTCGGATCTCCGTTTTCATGTTGAGAACCTGAAAAAATGACGGAAATGAGGGAAAGCCGGGAAATTTTTGATTCTGCTCCAAATTTTGTTGAAAAATATAAACAAGTTTGAGGGGATTTCTCAAATAAAAAAAAAAATTGGCATAGTGACGGGGAAAACAAGCAGAAAATGGCCCAGTCACTTAGTTTAGAGAATCCAAAAGGGAGCACCTATCTATAGGGGGCGTGTGCCAGACGACGAGCGATTGCCCGGCCGCACAAAGAACATTTCGCCAGGCATTTACACAGATTCTTCTTTTGCTTTAATGATGATATAAAAAGATATTCAGCCGTAAATTGTAAAAAAGATATTCAGCTGTAAACCCAGGGGTTTTCAGGGTCGGAGAATCGATTGGCGGGGTTTATTTCCCCATATCTTACAAGCAAAACCTCTAATTTGTGAATTTTGCAAGCATTAAGGGTAAATGCTCTTTCAAAATGTGCACATTACGTCGAACTTTTTTGTATCTATTTGCCTCGTTTCCGATTCTTTTCCCCATTCACCTCACTATTGTCACTTCGACAATTCTTCCGTCGCTGCTCATCCCAGATTCCCTTTATCGCCGTTCGGAATTGAGGGTTGAACCTGAAAGAGAAATTGTTTTTTTTGTTAAAGCTAAAAGATGCTATGGAAAAGCTATCGTATCTTATGTGTTTTTTTGTTAGTTTAGATCTTGATTTGAACAATTCACATTACCATGAATATATCAATGGATTCCAAACGGCTGACGTCATCGCCACTACATGACACAAAGCGAAAACCGTCGAGAACCACGGCGTTGTACCGCCTAAATTTTTAAATTAAATTAAATTAAAGAGTTAAATTTACTTATTTAAACTTTAAAAAAAACTCACATTACTTAAATATTTAAATAAATTCGAATTTCGATATAAAAAACTTTTGAAATAACGAATTTGAAATTCTAAGAGGTGCCCAAAATTTCTGCGTAGCTGCCCCAGCAAAATGCAATCAGTGATCGTCCAGAGCAGCTACACAGAAAACGTTTGAGACACTTTTTAAGGTTCATTATATCGAAGTTTTCGATCCTGAGCGATTTGTTAGGCCGAAGTTTGACTGTTTTTAGAATATACATAAGCCTATGTAGCTTATTGGAGATTTAGTTTTTTTAATTACGCACCAAATTGAAAGAAATCCCGCAACAAGTTCATGACGTTCAGCGGCATCCACGCTAACACTAAACCCCCGACCATTGAAATCATCATCCTGAAAGATTTAGCTAGTATTCTATCATTTTCAATACATAAATTTGCATATAAAGAATCTGCATATGACTTATTTCCCATCATGGCCTACCTATTTGCTCTCGTTTTCCGCGAAACGAGTTGCACCTCTCGATCGGGCAACAACTTTTGCCCTCTCCGCTTTTCCAATTGACAATTCATCACTCGCGAAATCATGTAGTAACAGAGCTGAAGATTTGGAATTGTACAATATATAAAAGAGCAGTGTTTGTCAAAAAATCGAAAATTGAGCGGCACTACGGGGGCTCGAACCCGGATCGTGTGGGTTGTAGACCAGCGCCCTTCCGACTGCACCACGGTGACAAGAGTGCTGGGGCCCATCGTTGGCTATCTATTCCCTCCAATCCCATAAGTCTATGGCTATATGCTCTCCAGAAACAGTTTATAAAAGATGAGCTTGGCAAAAAGTTACCGTACTTCCCGTAAACCGTTATGTCTCGTACTTTTTACCATAAGCTAGCTATTAAAAGATGCACTTAGGCAAAAGTTATTGTACCTTGGCTGTCTTTTTAAGGTCAGCTCCTAAGCACTTTTTAAAAAAACTAACAGATACGGAAAAGCTTTTTAGAAAAGCTAACAGGTCAAACTATTGTCCTTGAACTGTTCAAGCTGACTTACCGACGAGATTACGGTAGGAATGCCGAATTGTAGCAACAACACAGTGATCCCATAAAGTCGACGAATTTTCGAGAAACCATCCGCATCTTCGTCTGGCCTAGAATACATTGATTTTAAAAGCAATTCAGCTATTCATTTGAATTTTTACCATGTTTCCTCGCAAAATTCCCCGCAATATCCAAGGAATGAAGTAGTTTTCGAGAAAAGTCCAACCGGAAATGCCAACATGTAACCCCATAACCAAATGAGAAAAACAGTTGGGACAGCACGGGAAAAGCCGATCACCTAAAAAAAGAAATTGGTTAGTAAAAAGCGTTTATTCTTAAAAGATTAGAAATAATTTGGATTGCATTTGCATTGAAACTGGTAAGGAAATTAGGTAAAATTTAGCAATCTCACTGCTTTAAAGACGAAATTTATACAAAAAAAATCAGCAAATTTAAGGGCTTCGAAAAAAGCTACCGAAAATGATTTCTAAAAGATGCGCTTGAGAAAGATTGAGAAATTTTATACGCGCTCTTTTTCCCAAACTAGCAAACTTTGAACTCAAATTTCTTGCTGTTCAGCTGTTTAATTTAAATATGTTTTTGTAACAATCGATAGAGAAAGAATTGGAGAATCTAATGATACTAAAAATATTGAAATTTTAACCAGTCGAACACTAAGAAATTTGAGCTTAAAGTTAGATTGCCAATGGGAAAAGGGGAGGCGAATCAAATGTTCTATAATCTTTCCCAAGCGCATCTTTTATGATAGCTTTTCCATTCAAGAGCTGTTAGCAATTAAATTTAAGAATTAAATTCAAGTAAAGTCTTAATTTTTAAAATCACTTTCTATTCATTTACCTCTCGATTCGGTTTCAAAATGAAAATGCATCGATCAATGGCGATGGCGGTGAGGGTGAATGAGGAGACAAAAATGCTGCCACCCTAAAAGAAAATCATTTAAAAAGAGATCTACAAATTTTTATGAATAAATCTCACCTGAAAGACGCCGATTAAATTGCAGAGAAAAGCAGGGAAGACCCAGACGCGCGTGAAAGTGACCACAGCAGTGATCGGTAAAGAAGTTAAACTAAAACTTTTAAATTCTTAATCCTTAAGATATCTATTTAAATTTATCTTTAAGATATCTATAACTATAAATTCTAAATTCTAAATTTAAATCTAAAATCCCTAACCATTTATGTTAAAAGGTTAATTTCTTGGAGTTTCTATTCACCTAAAGTACACCAAATTTTCTAATTTTCATCAAGAGCTTAAAATTGGCTATTTTTAACGAATTTTTCTCTAATTTAGCTAAAATCTATAGATAAAATAGATATCTAAATGTATTTTCAAAAAGATTTCTCTTTAAAATCACCTCATCAACAAGTCAGACACCGCTAAACACCCAAGAAACACCGAGCGAACCGAGAGGGAAACCTAAAAATCCAAAATTTTTGACTTATTTATATAAAAATTTGAAAGAATAGAAAAATATTTGAATACTATAGATTAAAAATATTATATATATATGTCGTAGCCGTTTACGAAATTCAGCCGTTAAAGAATGATTCGTAATCGGCTAGCCGTTTACGAACGATTCGCTAGCGGCTAGCGAAAAATTTCATTCGTTAGCGGCTGAATTTTGTAAACGGCTACGATATATATATACATAAAAGATAGAAAAGATTGCATAACCTCTTGTTAATATTTACCCGTACCTGCCTGAAGACGACAACGTAAAGAACTAAAGAATTCCCGACAATCGCTGCCACCCAAACGATTGAATAAAGAATAGCGAAGAGAATCTAAAAAAGATATTCAGTTAAATTTTTGAATAGTCTTTCAAGTGAACTTTTAGCTTAAAAACACACTCTTTCTCACGCACTTAATTCCTCAACTTTCTTTCTGAAGTGTCCTGAGAAAAATGAGAACTCTTTGTGCTAGAAAGTACGGTTTGTTGGTGAAGGTTAGTGAAGGTAAGGTTGTGCAAGGTTTAGTGAACTTTTTGCTTTCTGCAATGTACTTTGCTCTTCAAATCTAAAAGCATCCTTTCTAGCGCATTGAATACTTTAAATACTTTTCTAGTGCATTGAATACTTCTTTACTTTAAGCACAGAGACGCCAAAGATTTAATGTCAAGTTTCGTATGCCAGAAAGGATGTGTTTACGAATCTGTCAGCACAAAGTACCCCCTCAGAACAATTTACTTTTTGTGTACTTTTTGCTCAAAAGTTGTAAACGTACCCTTCCTAACGCACTTACTTAATTTTTGCTTTCTCTATTTTACTTCGAAAGCGTTTCTTCGAAAAAACTCAAGATTTCAGTGCACTGTGCACTGTGCAGTGATTTCAGTGCTCAAGATTTCAGTGCAGTGCTTCTACAAATGCTTCTACAAATCTTTAATCTTCTACTAGGTGCTACTACGATCTACAAATCTTCTACTAGATGCTACTATGATCTACAAATCTTCTACTAGGTGCTACTATGAACTACAAATCTTCTACTAGGTGCTACTATGATCTACAAATCTTCTACTAGGTGCTACTATGAACTACAAATCTTCTACTAGGTGCTACTATGATCTACAAATCTTCTACTAGGTGCTACTATGATCTACAAATCTTCTACTAGGTGCTTCTACAAATCTTTGATCACAAGGACACGAAAACGATCAAAATGTTAAACCATAAAAAAATTTTTCTACAAATTTACCTGTATAAATGGCAAATCGACGGATTCAAATTGTAACTTTTGAATCGTTGAGCAATTACTCTCTTCTGTCATTTCTTTCCTAAAAAAATAGAAATAGTCATTTTAAAAAAGAACAATAATAAAAACATATTCAACTAAAAAACAAGGAACATTTTTCATTTCGCAAAAAAGTGACATTCAAAAAAGCCTCAACCAGGTGAACTTTCAAAAAAAAATGATCAATTTCGGAAAATTTTCTTAAAATATCCTTTAAATATTCTTAAATATTTAAATTTTTTCTTTTTCTAGGCAAAATTTAGCAAAAATGACGTACTTTTTTTTGCGAATTTGCAGAAGAAAATTCACCTGTTATTTTGAGAAATCGGAAACGTTTGAAAATGAGATCAGAAAAAGGGAAATAAACGAAAATGGGGTGGGTTTCTTGAAAATAAAGGTCAAAAGCAGAAAAACAGCAGTTTTTTTTTGCAAATTCGCATATTGAAAATGGTAAACTGTTGTAGGGATGGAAAAAAACGATTGATTAGCTATAAAGAAACGATTGAATTCAAAAGGTTTCTTGAATCACGCCCAACAATATTCACTTGCATATATCTAGATTTTGTATCGTCAATGGAATGCTTTGACATCAAAGCAAAACTGTATAAAAATGTTTTTGTGGACATTCTACCGTAGGCTGAAAGTTGTCGCGTTGCTAAAACGCGTCCTTTTTCTTTCTATTTAGAGAAAAGAGAAAAAAATCGGTCTTTTGCGTCAAAATTTTTTGCGCAATTGAATCATTGCGCCACTCACCATAACTTTCTTCTAAGTCGGCCAATCTTTATGATTTTGGTTTCATTTTGTAGATCTCAACAAGGGCAATAAAATGAAACCAAAAACATGAAGATTGGCCCATTTAGAAGAGAGTTATGAAGAGTTGCGCAAAAAATTTGGCGTAAAGTAGCCACCCTCACTAAATTCTTCTTAAAACCTTATAAATTCTTTTTTTTTTTTTTTTTTTGTTTGCGCAACTGGATCGTTTGCGCAACTCGCCATAACTTTCTTCTAAGTCGGCCAATCTTTATGATTTTGGTTTCATTTTGTAGATCTCAATAAGTGCAACTAAGTAAGACTAAGTGCAAATTCGGTTTAATCAAAACAGGGCACCATGCGACGAGCGTCAGTTGGCTCCATATGAGTGGTGGCAATCGTACTAAAGCAAGAATTTATAAGGTTTTAAGAAGAATTTAGTGAGGGTGGCTACTTTACGCCAAATTTTTTGCGCAACTCATCATAACTCTCTTCTAAATGGGCCAATCTTCATGTTTTTGGTTTCATTTTATTGCCCTTGTTGAGATCTACAAAATGAAACCAAAATCATAAAGATTGGCCGACTTAGAAGAAAGTTATGGCGAGTTGCGCAAATGACCCTGTTTCGCAAAAGAAATTGCAGAAATTAGCCTACTCCAATCACGATTTTTCTCTAGCTACTCACCTTTTTAACTAAATATTTTCACTTTTTATCATCTGACTCAAAAAGATACTTTTCTTTAAAGAATTGAATGTAAACAAAAAGATATTCAGCTAAAACTTTTTAAAAACTATTGAGATGAACTAGAAAATGGGTGTTTACAAAAAAAACACAACTTCTCTGCTAGTTAAATATTACTTGATAAGGAATCAAAACAATAGAATATCTGAATGAAAGCAAAAAAAAGATTCTTGCCTGTTTCTATTCAAATTTTTCTGTAAGTTTTTAAAATTTTCCAAAAAAAATGCCTTTTTTTCCCCAATAACGTCTACTAATGGAGTCAAAAAAAGGGAAGTTTTTGGAAACGTTTTCCTTTTTTCAATTTTAGTCAGAAAGTTGGAAAAAGGAAAAAAGAAAATAATTTCAAGAACTCTTCTTTCTCTTCAAGTGCAAATTTGGGGTAAACGAAGAAGGAAGCACTTCCGAGAAATGAAAAGATTGCAAAGAATTATGGAAGAACACAGATAGACATCTAAATGTGTAATTTGTGCTCGAAAACGCAACCTTTCTAGCGCACTAGAATCCTTGATTTCTTTTTCTTCTAGAAAAGATTTAAGGCTCAAGAAATGGATTAAAATAGAATAGAATATAGAATAGATTCAAGAATATAGAAATAGAAACTCAGAGACTCAAGCAAAACAAGTCGAAGATTTCGAACCAGGAGCAATGAAGCTAGGAAACACTGGATGAAAATAGCAAGGGATAGAGAAATGTGGAAGCAGGTTGTGATCTGCGCAAATAGGAACACCTGAGTGCGAAAAACGATCAAAGAAAAAAAAAAGAGACTCAAGCAATAGAATAGATTAAAAGTCAAGAAATAGATCCAAAATCTTCATTTCCCGCATCAAATCATTGCTGCAAGAAGAATTGAGTGCTCCAGAAAGGCTTTGTTCACTCTTTAGAGCACAAAGAACATAAAAGAAAGCATAAATTGCTTAATGTTTAAAAATTTTCATCTAAAAGAAAGCTGCAAACACATATTGGTATAGGAATTCGTTGAAGTTTTCCCAAAAAAAATATAAACACTTTGAAAATGCATGGATCTCTTGAAGCTTTTGATGAAAATCCTAGCAAAAAAAGCTTTGAAAATCTCCACCTGGATCAACAATCAAATAGAAAGAATGACTTTTAAAAGAAAATTTAATAATAATACTTTATTCAAACGATAAAGTGAAAGAAATCATAGAGAAATGCACAGTGATACTTAATCATACAATACATACTGAAATCAATAAGCCAATTACTTACGGCAAAGAGCCACTAGATCTAAAGCATCGATACGTTTCTTGAATATGAAAAGCGACTGAATTTCTCGTATGTCGTTTGGGAGCAAGTTCCATAATCTAGCGGCTCTAACGGGAAATGAATTTGATAAAGAGGCATTGGAAGCAAAGGGAATTTGCAAAAGGAATGAGCCACTTCTGGGCCCTGACCGCGGTTTAAATTTGAAAAAGTCTATAAACAAAGGGCTAATCTGTTTACAACGGAGGATTTTGAAAGTTTCGACTAAATCAATGACAAAGCGACGATGCTGTAAAGTTTTTAGTTCAAAAAAAGCAAATTTTTGAAAATATCTATCTTAACTTTGAAAAAAGACTCTTTTCTTCAAAAAAATAATTGAAAATCGAAAATCGGACTAAAATATTCACGAGTTGATGTTTTAAAGAAAAAAAAAAATGAGTCATTCAGTTTTTAACATTCAAAAATAACTATTTTTCAACTTTTACAACCTTTTTCTCACAGTATGACTCTAGTTGAGCAGCTTGTTGATAAGAGCTGGTTGATTGTGATTTAGATAGATAATGAACCAAGTTTAGTGAGATAATGAACCAAGTTTAAGGAAATAAGGAAGCAAGTTTCGAATTTTGAGGGATAAGGAGCCAAATTTAGAGAAATAATGAACCTAGCTCAGAGAGAGAGAAGGAACCAAATTTAGAACGATAAGTAACCAAATTCAGAGAGATAAGTCATACTGTCAAAACTTGCTTTAACTCTGCAAAGGTCCAACAAAAACTAGACTCAGATCTGACTACTTATAGCCTACAAGACAACGTTAGACTAGACTAGTAAGCTATTGGGGTTTTTTGATTTTCGGCGCCGACTCATTCTCCCAACCCAATAATTAGACAAAGCCAAGATCTAGCTTCTGCCTTGACCTGAAAATTACAGACCAAGAAGTTAGAGGGTTCAAGCCTGGCCATGCTCAGCCATTGAAAGAACCCAGATGTCAGTAGATCATCTAAATAGCATCTAAATAGACTCCTGAAACTTCTCTCAAGACTACCGTATTCTCTCTAATAGTAGTGCACTCTCTAGTAGTATGGCCGGTCTGGGAGGGGCTTGAAAAAATAGTAGTGCGTTTTTGAACCCCTCCTGGACCACTGCTATAGAGAGTGCAACTCAACCCAGAGAGAATACAGTATATCCCTTTTTCAAAAGTTTCTTTTTTTTTTGTCTAGGGAGAGCTGGTCAAAAACCGAAAAACTGGAAGGATTGCCCATTGCAAAAATGAAGTCTCTGAGAAAATGGGCAAGTAAAAGAGTCAAGAGGGCAAGGTGGTCATGGAATGAAAGCTATTCTTGTGAGGAAGGAAAGGGGTCACTGAAATATAGGACCCCTGGGGGAGTACCCAAAAAATCGATCAGCTAAAAATAAAAATATCAAAAGGTAGCAAGCTAACAAGCTGATAAACAAGTTTTCTAGAAAGTGAATCAATCAAATCATTTACTAGCTTGTACTTAAGATAAATACTCTAATAGAAGCCCTTTTCTATAGAAGCATCGCGTCGTCTAAGTTGACTCTCAAATAAACGCTCGTATCTTGGCACTATGTACGTTTGTTTCTAAGCGCTTAAATATCAAATTAAAGTAGAGAAAACGGGTGACTTTTTGAGATATAACACATATTTTTATCATTAACCAGTGCTTAGAACAAAATAATTCAAAAGTGGCAAAAAAAAGCCGATTTTTCATCATTTTTCAATCATTTTTTCTAAGCACTGGTTAATGATAAAAATATGTGTTAGATCTCAAAAAGTGACCAATTTTCTCTACTTTAATTGATATTTAAGTGCTTAGAAACAAACGTACTAGTGCTAAGATACGAGCGTTTATTTGAGAGTAATCGCTATCCAGTGGAATTATCAGAGTGAAAACATTTAACGACTACGCGACTGTACGCTCATAAAGCCTTCGTCGTGAAGATGTGATGTTAATAGGCAACTAAATGAGCTAAGAAATTGGTGAATTGAATCGAGTGTAGTTGGGCTAAAATTGTGCAAATCTCATTGAAGATAAAAAGAATTGACCCACACTCGAAAAACTGACCCACACCCACAAAAATTGAGAAGGAAAGAAAGCGCATAGCCTCAGCCCTGCAACACGATTTCTTTTCATTTCTCTGATTTATGGAATTTCTTTTCTTTTCAACCTATCATTTGAAAATAGCTTCTTAAAAACTAAGTGCTTTTTTTAAACTCGATCATTATTTTAGCCAAAAACGCCCCCCCTCCTTTTTTCGTTCTCGATGAGGAAATCACTACCCGAAAATTGACGGTTTCCGAAAA